GGGGGGGGGATTCCCCGTGAAATCAAAGCATGCGACGGGTTTGCTTGCTTTGGGATTACCTGCATGCGAGCGACAAAGTAGACCGCGATGCAGACCACTGCGGGTTCCTTTGCAACTCTGCATGCAAAGGAGGAAGCAAAGGTCCGCGGGAGATCGTCTGCGTATGGAAGTCTATTGAATCGTCGTGAATCGGGTAAGTTTGCAAAATTAGGGATTTTTTTTCTCTTTTTATTTGATTGATAAGGCGCGACATGCGCTCTGGGCTTAGAAAGCATTAATCCTCGTGAGATTTGTGCCCCCCTCATAGGTGTGGGGTGAAATGTCTTATGCCTGGAACGCCAATTTAAACAGCGATTGCAACAAATCTTAACGTTCAACATCGTGAGTTTATGAATTTGAGCGATACATTTTTTTGGAGTAGGGAGCATAGCTGACAATGGAATATGGACTAAATATATGGGCTTCTCTATGCAATTGATGCTATAAATTTATATGTTAAAGTTTCCTTTCGTGTATTATTTTTGTAAGAAAATCTAGCAAATTATTTGGGCATCGTTTTCTAAGAAATTTTTAATTTGAGGAGGGATGAAGTTTATTTTTCTCTTTTAAAATTTTCCTAGTATTATTTGATATGGTGATTATTGATTTAGACGAAGAAAATCTAGCAAATTATTTGGCCATCGTTTTCTAAGAAATTTTTAATTTGAGGGATGAAGTTTATTTTTCTCTTTTAAAATTTTCCTAGTATTATTTGATATGGTGATTATTGATTTAGACTTTTCAAATAATTTTTTATATTTGAATTAGGTTTATTAAATAAAATAATTTTTTTTAGAAGTTTAAATTTACTCTTGCAAATGTCTAGGGTGGCGTTTGATGGGAATTGATTAGCATATTGATTTGAGGGCATCTTGTGCTTTTGATAATCATTCACGGGGTTATTGGATGGCTAGATTATTTGTGGGATCATTGTATGTTTATGACAAAAATAAAGGTTGAGCAGGGTTACATGACAATGAAAGTGTGGTAAAGCTATTCGTTTTTTGCGATGGAAATGGAAACGTGGTGTGTCATTTGGGTTTTTGTAAAAATTTGTAGTGTTTATTGAATGGGAGCTCTCACTTTTAGGTTTTCTTTCAAACTTCCGATTAGTTAGTCTCTATTCAGATTATAATATATAGCGTGAAATCTAGCTACTGGATCTTTTTTATTTTATTTATTTATCTTTATAAATGAAAAAAAAAAGAAAAGCTGCTGTATCTTGATGCTGTGAGCTTATAATGCTTTCCTTGTCTACTCGTAACAGAAATAGTGCTGGTTTCGTCTATCTACGCTTCGAAAACACTACGGCAGCCATGAATGCGCAGCGTGCACTTCATGGAAGATGGTTTGCCGGAAAAATGATTACAGCTACCTTCATGGTATGGTTCCTGCCATAGACTTTATTTTTAATTTGCTTCTTTATATTTCTAACTCCATTCGGTATTACATTTTCAGATTCCTCAGAACTACGATGCAAAATTTCCCAATTGACTAATGTTAAAATCTCTCAGATCATATTTGAAAGTTGTGGCCTTTTCGCCGTCTACAGCTTTGTTGGGTGGGAAATACTATAATAAGTGATGGTGTTGTAGGATTCGTTCTACTCATTCTTTAGCTGGTTTGTTTCGTGGGGAGCCTCGGTTCTCCAATCCCCACACGAACCTGTTAGCCTTGATGGCAGGATTAGGAAGGGGATCAGCAATGTCTTCCTGTGCTGTACTTTTTATATAATTTTTTTTTTAAAAGTTATGTGGAGATATTTTTAAGGTCTGCTTCGGCTATCCAAACAGCTGCATATTCTGTAAGCAGTCACCAAATCTGTGATCTCAAGAACAGCAGTTTAATTTTTATTTTTCTTGATACGTAGGATGTGGGAAGAAAAAAAAAAAAGATTTTTGAGTGGTTTGTTCTTTGTTTTATTTATTATGTGGTGCACATTGGATGTATTTGGGACTGAATGTTTCTCCATTTTCTTAGACCATCTACTTGGGTGTTAGGAGGGTTTGATGCGCAGTTAAATTTCCTGCCCTCAGATATATAGCTCTTATGCCAAGACCCTATTAGTTGGGACTTGGTTTTCTAAACCATGTTTATTTGTAGAAATTGTGGGTGTGGGAGTGATTATTAGAGTTAGTTTATATTTTTGGAACCGTCTTTTATTCCCATAAAAAAGAAATTAGCTGTGTGAAATAGTATGAAATAGCTCAATTATTTCCAAGGTTTCTTGTACGTTTTGAATTAAGATTTTCTTAAAAAAATTTAGGAATTTTCTCAATGCAAATATATCTTAAAAAGGATCGTGGAATTAATAAAATGGTAAGCTGAAGGCACAAATGTATACACAATGCAAATATATCTTGGTAAGATGGTGGAATTGTAAAAATAGAGAGCCAAAGGTACAAATTAAAACACGTTATAGTTGGAGTCTATCGTATACCGATAAGTATCGGGCAAAATCAAATTTTTTGTCCGGAGAACCAACTCATTAATGAACGTGTGGTAGCTCTTCAATTTGATTCTCCTTTTGGTCGGCCGTGACTGAGCAGCCTTCATCTTAAATTAGATATATAGTTTTACAACATGCATTATTTTTTTTATGAAATCTTGATTGGAATTAAATTGATGCATCAAGCAATTGAGTTGAAGAACACTCAAAGAACTAGACATTTTAGCACTTACATTAATTATTATTATGAGGTATGGAAAAGGTTTACGTTTTGGATATGTGATTTTTGTATGGAATTTTAGATTAGGATTTTAGATATTGTTTACCTCCTGAATTGTAGGTGTTAGGACTAGAGTTTGGGTGAGATTGCCTTTCTCTTGAACCGTAGGTGCTTATCCTTTATGTATTTGAGTTATATTGTATATTATTGTTAAAATCAAATATTAGGTTGCTCTAATTTCTATGGAAAAAACATCTTCATTCTTATCAATTTGATATCAAAGCATTTTGTCGTTGCTAAACTTCCATATCTTTGTTGAAATCATTGTTGCTCCATCTTCATGTCTTTATTGAAATTGTCAAGATGCACGATTCAAGGTGTCTTGCTGCAAAGTAGTCACGCTCTGAGATAGCTTGTAGGTTCACAAAGGGATTGTGGTGTACAAGGTGATACAATCGCTCAATTTGACCTAACTGAAAAGAAAATAAGGGATCATTGTGAAATAGTTGAGTTTCAACCAACTGGGAAGCAATTGATGAGATCGTGACATATAGGTGATGCCTTTGTGACATAACCGTGAGAAACAATCACAGTTAGAGATAGGTTGGAAGATAGTGGGGAAGCAACAAACGAGACCATGACGCATAATGACCTAATCACAGTCACAATTCGAGCTAGATGAAAAGCATCACAAAGTGGCCTAGTAGCAAAATAACCATGATTTGGGCTACTTGGCAAGCCAAATGATGGGATCTCAACATACAGGAGTTCCGCTTTCTTGATAAAAAAAATAATTATGGGATTAATGACAATAAAAAAGTAGATGCTTTAGAGAAAAAAATCTGAGACATGTGATCAAATTTGGATCGAAAATGGAGGAGTGTTTTTTATATATAGAGGGGAAATTCAAGGCCTTGGAAGAAATGATGCAATAGATTGTTGAGTTGCACAAAAAACTCTCTCCATGCCGTTGGATCGAGCAACAGGATCAGGAACAGATGTGAGCAACAACAACCAAAAGATTCCACGCAACAACTGGTTAGTGTCCTTGCTTTCGGTGGATCTGGAGTTTTAGGATTGAGAGAAGGAATGAGGTGCAGACTCTTGTGTCAATACTTGGAAGAAAAAAGTGCAACTTTTTGATGATTGAAGCAAACGAAAGCAGGTAGGATCCAACGAAAGAGTAGGGAACAAATTCGAGCCGTAACATATGGAGGGAATTATATGACATTTGAAGGTTTGGAACCAGTGACAGTTGATACGCCAAAAATATATGCATTTTTAGACCAATATTTTACTCTTTTTTGGTGATATTGCACTTTAATGGATGATATTTTTATGTTTTCTTGAAGGTTATTGAATTTTAGGTCATGAAGCAAAAAAGAAGCAAAAATGATGAAATTTAGAGCAAAAATAAAGACAAAAATATTTAGAGCAAAAATAAAGAAGTTGAAAATTTGTTCACCACCAACGGCGCCTTTTGATAGAGTGCATTGAATTAAATAACAGAATGCTGGCGCCGACGACGCCAATGTTGTTTCAGCCCTGTTTCTAGAAGATTCAACAAATTTGGATGCTTTTTGAATAGTTTTTGGAGGCACCTTCTAGAAAACCTACTCTAAGCTTTATCTGGGGCTGAAATTGATAAAAAAAGTGACTCTTCTTGACATTTCATCGCCCCAATTCAACCCTCTACGCATCACACATTCCTCTATTTTCATTCCACAACCATTTAGTGTCCATTGTTTTTATAATTTAGAGTTTTGTGGTGAGATTAAGTGTGAATTTTTCTCTAGAAGTGTTGGAGAAGAAGAAAAGTGGGAGATTTGTTCTTCCTTCATTTCCTAGAAAAGGTTACAAGGGATTTGCTTTGAGAAAGAGTTTCAGATAAATGTTGTTTGTTTATTAGTGTTGTATGAACTTTCTTTTATATATAAAATTTGTGTTTTGTTGTATCTTTCCCATGAAGTCTGATTAGTTTACTTTATCTTTCTCCTTACTCTGAGATATGGTGAAATGATGAGATAATATGGATTTGCCAATATTAAAATATAAAATAAATTGTGATGATTTTTCAACTCCGAACTTAATTTACTTTTCGATCTGGCCAATTGAATTTTTAGAATATGTTGTGAAACATATGATCTGGGAAATAAAGTATGAGTTCTACAATAGAGTGAGGATCACATTTGATTCCATGAAG